TTTTAAAAAAAAAAAAAAAAAAAAACATTAAGAATCAATTAACCTGAACAGAACTTTATTCTATTACAACACTATATGTTATCAATTGTAAGAGAACAAAAAAATCGCTAGTAAGCCTCCATTAACATAACCATAGCGAAGACTTATACTATGATAAAGCATATACATTTATTAATTTCTCTACTTAACAACTGATATTTGAGAGCAAAACAAAACACTAACAGGCTGCTCTATATAGCACAATCTAATATCAGAGCAGTCACTAGCCGTACAGGGCGATATGCAAATCTTAGATCAATCATCAAATAATCAGCGAAGGTTGTAAGGAATACATGAATTAGTCAAAGAGAAGGGACGGACTCTGCAGAAATCTCCTGGCTAAGAAAGTGCCCAGTTGCACTTACTCATAAAAACCTCAACATATAAAAGTTCAGATATTAAAAATTTGGATGTGCACTCTATAAGACTTTATCATAAAAAATACTCTACATACAATAGATTAATATTCTGAACCAAAATAATATTCTATGATGTCAATTTTAAGACCCACTTTTATATGACAGCGAGTCCTGAAATACGGATTTCAAAAACGAATATGTTTCTAAAGCCTGTCTGGTTTCTACAATAGATAAAAGTTGAAATGTGTCGAGTTTAGAATATGAAAGCCACTCACACCTTTATCTATTCTATTTTCACACTCTTGCTTTGGCCTACTCTGAGAAAAAGTGTTTTGTCTACAACTTGACTTCTGAAAACTAAAGAAACTTATCGAATTATGTATTTTATAGACTAAATATTAAAGATATTTTAAAAAGAATTGTTAACATAATTATTAAGAAATATTAGGAGGTCAAATAATAATGAAAAATGTTATCTATGCATTTGCAATCTCTCCACAGTCTCCAAACGAGTGCCATTCATTGACTAGCTCAGAAAGAAATATCGCTGTTTTTTAGATTCCTGGAAATAAAACCACGAGCATGTATGAATTCTGATTAAACAACTCACGTCGTTTCTCTGTGGGCGCCTCCTTTTCTAGGCACTGGGCAAAACTTGAAAAAGTATGTTACTTATCTTTATCACTTCATGATAGACTCTTAATGTATGTTTATGTTTATGAATCATATAAGACTACGTATATGTAAAGCCTTGACAAACATTGAAATGTTAATAAATAATATTACCTCAAAAATTAGATATCAAACCAAACAGCAGGCTAACACAATAATTAGATTTGCTTTCTAACATAGAATCTGAACAACTTGCATTCTAGACAGCTTGATTTATGCGATATGCTCTTAGACTAAATGAACGAAATCATCATATTTTCAACAAGAAAAATTTTCAAGTCTCATCAGATTGGTGTTAACGATCTCAATCCCACTGTTGAACTACGCCAAAATGGCTCTTCTAACTGCTCCATATATTAAGCATGCAATAAAGTTTTACTAATGTTGAAATCGTCTTTAAATGATAGACCTTATACACCAAAGTGCACTTAAACTTAAATAATGGCCTGTTGTGATACCAAGGAGTAGCGTTGTACATACGCAGACCAGCAGAATTCCCATATGCAGCTTTCAGTATGAACTTGCCAGACAATACACTTTACCTTTTACCCTATATGTACTGCTTCAAATTGATTTAAAGAAAATTGCGTTTGAAAATTTTAAAATTATATTTTAAACTATTGCATTTTCTTATTGTTCAATAATAATATCTATTTTTTACAGGCTTATGCCCATAATTGGTCAATACACAATATCAGATGTTGCAAAAATTTCCTCACTTTTACACGAACGCTACGGTCGCATTGTGCGTTTTGGAGGTTTAATGGGTCGTCCGGATTTGCTGTTTATTTACGATGCTGATGAAATTGAAAAGGTCAGTAAACTTTTATATAAAATTTTTTAATAAATTTTTATTTTTAACTCATTTTAACATTTTCAGGAGTTGAATTAAACTCTTATGGCTAATGATTGTACCAAGTGACTTCATTATAATCTGTGTTGTTAATAAGTTGAAATAAATTTGTTTGCTACTAATATTTGCTTTATATATACAAATGTATATGTTGAATTAATGTCTTTGCTACTTAACGCTTTGTTGCCGACATAAGTACAATGGTCTAGTATTTAAAATTCCAAAGCGTACACTCATCGAGTGTACGATCCATGATAGACACGTACGATGATTGTTGCAATTATTGAGCTTTCTTATAACAAATGTACTCACAATTACAAAAAATTTTCACAAACAACATTAGTACAATATGTATCAAAGTTTTATATATTAAAAACTTGATTCAAAATTATTTATTATATATATATATATATTATATGTAATTGGCAATACATTAAAATTTCTAGTTCGCATAATTATAGAGAGAAAAATTATTTTTTTAACAAGTAATTAAATACTTAATTGTATTATGGTCCTTGGACAATATCTATCGATTTAGAGAATGCCCAAAAAACTTTACCCAAAAGTTAACTTTAACCAAAAAACTATTAATATCTCGAACATCTTTCATAAAAGTAGCTGACGCCATGTATTAATTTTTAGACATTAAATATTATTTAATTTCATGCCTAATATATTTTTGCACCAAAATAGATTCGAGAATTAATGTGATTCAAAATTAGTTTGAAATTTTTTAAGGAATGGTCCGTTATTTTTTGCAAAAACCTAAATAAATAAACTAGATAAGTTTATTTATTTTTGTAAGTTAATACTATATAACCCTATTTGTTGCAAACATTATTTGCTAAAGAAATTTTAATGAATCACAACGCACTGTTTTCTTTGAATGGATGTCGGAACTAAAGTAATTACTGTTTTTTTCGTTTCCGAGATTAAAGAATCAACTCCCGAAATTATTGCATTAAAATGAAACATCCTATATAACATATCCATTATCTAAAAAAACATATATAGCCTAGATTTTTTTCCCGAATTATAACTAAAACCATCACCAACTACTCTATCTTAAGAACTGTTTTTTCACTTACCTTTCTATGAGAACTCGTACAATTTACTTCCAAGAAGAGCTATTTGCATTTTTGTTTAGTATTCACAAAAGTTATGTCCAAATTTATTCAATATTATATTTTTTAAACTTCCTTATTATTTTTCTTTTATTGCAATTAGTGCTATCGCAATGAAGGTCCTACACCCTTTCGACCATCTATGCCTAGTCTAGTCAAATACAAAAGTGTTGTACGGAAGGATTTTTTCGGTGATCTTGGTGGTGTAGTCGGAGTGTGAGTATTCATGATACTGCTTAAATAATAAATATTTGGTATATATTAAATGTTTGTAATTCTTTTAAACAGCCATGGCGAACCTTGGCGTGAATTTCGTTCACGTGTACAAAAACCGGTACTACAATTATCAACAGTCAGACGCTATTTGCAGCCATTAGAAATTGTCACTAATGACTTTTTAAAACGCTGTGAGTCATTACTAGATGACAACTCTGAATTGCCAGAAGATTTTGATAATGAAATACACAAGTGGTCCTTGGAATGTGAATACAAAAAAAATACACACCATTTATTAGATTAATTAAGAATTTTGAATTTACAGGCATTGGAAGAGTTGCTTTGGATGCACGTTTAGGTTGCCTTGAACCAAATTTAACACCCGACTCGGAACCACAACAAATTATAAATGCTGCAAAATATGCTTTACGAAATGTAGCTACTTTGGAATTGAAAGCACCTTACTGGCGCTATTTTCCAACACCTTTGTGGACTCGTTATGTTAAGAATATGAACTTTTTTGTGGAGTGAGTAATTAGAGTATGATAACAATGAAGTGCTACTATGTTAAATGATTTTACAAATAATCCTATTGATAAGATATTTAATTAATTAAGTATTTGACTTTTTGGTTTCATATAAATTATTTAATATCTGCAGAGTTTGTATGAAATACATCAAATCAGCTACAGAGCGTCTTAAATTGCAAGGTCGTAGCCAAAACGGTGAACCGTCTTTATTAGAGAAAGTTATAATGGCCGAAAAGGATGAAAAAATAGCAACAATAATGGCACTCGATTTAATATTAGTTGGCATAGATACGGTATTTTGATATATTATTTTTTTTTTTTGGATCTTTTATATTAAATCATACGATGCTTTGTTTTTAACAGATATCAATGGCAGTTTGTTCAATGCTGTACCAATTAGCTACACGTCCAGAAGAGCAGCAAAAAGTACATGAAGAACTGAAACGTATTTTACCCGATCCACAAACACCACTGACAATACAATTGCTCGATCAAATGCATTATTTAAAAGCTTTTATCAAAGAAGTATTTCGTATGTATAGTACTGTCATAGGTAATGGACGAACATTGCAAGAAGACACTGTAATCTGTGGTTATCAGGTGCCAAAAGGTGTGCAAGCTGTTTTTCCAACAATTGTCACAGGCAATATGAATGAATACGTAACTGAAGCTGCAAAATTTTTACCAGAACGTTGGCTCAAAGCTAATCAAGGAGGTTTTGATGGCAAACTTCATCCATTTTCATCGCTACCTTATGGTTATGGTGCACGAATGTGTTTAGGACGTCGTTTTGCCGATCTAGAAATGCAAATTTTATTAGCTAAGGTATGTAGAATATAATCAATATACATAAACATTCACAAAATAACAACATAAAATTTCATCTACAGCTACTGCGGAACTACAAACTGGAATACAATCACGAACCTTTACAATATGCTGTCACATTCATGTATGCACCCGAGGGACCATTACGATTTAAAATGACAAAAATTTAATAATTTTTTCACAATAAAAATTATTAGAATTGTAACAAATTATATATATTTTATATTATAAGTTATTTTTTTTAAGTGAAAGTATTTAATAAATATATATGTATATAAATATATTTAAACTGCATTTTGAATTTAAGTAGTACAATGTAGTAACAAATATAATACGTATCTATGAAATACCTAGTGTTTAACTGTGCAACTAGCAAGCATTAGCTACATTTATAAACAAATAGCAATTTAATACTTTATTAAATTATATTAGCACTCAACGAGTGCATTAGTTAAAAAATGTCATATAAAATGTACCTCTTTAATGACTGCAATATTTTGTTTATATTAGGTAGATAAAATTATTATCAACTTATACAGTGTTAATCGCAATATAATATTTTTGTGTGATGTATTGTTGCATATAACAAACTGGAGAAATAAAAACTGTCATTTTATGTTTTTTTACTTTTATTTCCTTCAAACCATTTCTTCACAACTTCAACGCTATCTTTACCACTTTCCACAGTATCGCTTAATAATTGAAACACTATTTCGACATCATATGATTCACGGGCCTCTTCCAAAATCGTACCAAATATTTCACATTCAATATTGGATTTCAATTTCTTTTCATTATAACCACGTTCTTTCAAGCGGTCATATAGTACAGAATTGCCGCAAACAACAACAAATACTGCATCAAACCACCGTTGTGGAAAAAAGTCGCAGCCATGATATTCAACTATATTGCCACCTTGCTGTATAATGGGTTCCATATAATCTAGCAGCTATATATATTACAAATTATTTTAATCATTTCTATTAAAACATATACAAAATAAATATATACACCTTATCTTCATCTAGTATGGGACAATCATATTCCTTATCATATTCTTCAACGAAATTTTTTTCTTTAGCAATTTTTGAGCAATCCAACCAATTAAGCTGCAATTCATCCGCAAGATGTGCACATATGTAAGACTTACCGGCGCCTGGGGTACCTAAAGAAATGAATTTGATTAATATATAAATAATGAAGACACTCTATTTAAAAGAGCACACAATAATTAATGCAAGCAGAATTTACTTTGTTTACTTTATACCATAAATTATTTTCAATTTAATTTCACTAGCAGTGAATTGCATTTGCACTTTAATAAAACTTTGTAACTAAATACTTTTTTATTTAAAATTATAATGATATGTAATTACCAGTTACTAATATATTTGGTTTTATTGAGTTAGGCATTTTTCTAACAACTTATATTTTTATTAAACGGAGCAATAGTAAACTTATATCCACCGCTTCATTTGTTAGTTTAGAAATCTGTCATTTCGCGATTATGTTCAACATGTGAGAAAAGGAAATATTGCTCTGAACATACCCTAAAGGAGTAATGTCAAATATAAGTTGGCATCACTAAAGTGTTGATATGTTTCGTTTAAAATTCAAAATAAATTTAAAATAGTTAATTTTTGTGATAACGTTTTTATATTTATTATAGAAATCATTAGTTTGTTTTTCAATTTTTTCTTTTGTGAACTCAGATTTTTTAATCTAAAATTATGAACACAATTTTTGTTGCGAGTTACAATAATTAATATGCATTAGTTTTCGAACTTAACAAAGTTTTCAAATTTTTACTTTTGTTATTTCGATATGCTTAAGCTAGGTAGTCTCTTTTAAATTTATTGATTCCGTCATTTTTACGCTGCTGTTGGAACATTTTCCATAATACTTTTTATGAAATCTCGAAAAACATAAACTTACATAAGTAAAAACATAAAGTTTATTTAACAAAATTTTCAAAAACTTGAAGGGGTGGCCTCTTTAATGTAT